TGTTTCCAATCTCCTATATAACCACTAAATTGTAGTTTCCATTTTCTTTTCCATTCCCCTAAACAATCCCTAAATTGCAGTTTCCATTTTCTTTTCCATTCTCCTATATAATCACTAGGTTGTAGTTTCCATTTTCTTCTCCATTCCCCCAAATATTCCCCATATGGCCTGTAGCTCAAGTTGTGGACAGCAAAGGGTTCTTTGGCTTGGTGGCACCATGCCCGAGGTCGAATGCTGCTCTGCCCCTCCCCCAGAGAATCCATGTAGCCATCAGGGAACAGAATTATATGCGGTTTATATGGGGATTATATAGGGTTTGGGGCGTTAGGGTTTGTTGTTTAGGCCTTCCCCTTGCCTTTGCTCAAGACTAAGGACTGGTTGTAAGGGAATCCCATCGTGCCCTAAGTATATATTATATACCTACACATGGGCTTTTGGGTTCACTCCATACGCTCTGCAATGAGAAGTCCTACAACAGCAGAGGCCCGAAGCACAGTCTGAACCAAGGTGATCCACGATTCCGGCTGTTTTCGAAGAGAACCTGGGGTCACTTAGCTCATGGTAACATAATTAGTCCTTACAGTTATAACTATCATGAACCTAGACCATCTGTTCAGGAATTCGAGGAAACAGAGTTGTAGCGGTGGGGGCCATGAGTTTGAAGGCTTTAGGGCTGGTGTTTTGGGTATAGGGTCTAGGTGTTCAGGGTTTCGGCTAGGGTTTAAGTGTTTAGGGTTTCGGGTTTAGGTGTTTAGGGTTGAGGTGTTTGTCAGCAGTTGTCTGGGCCCAAAATGAAGCACAAGGCAGAAGTCCGCAGAAGCAACCCAAACTTGCCCTAAACCCCCAAAGCCTACATATCCCCATGCAGCGTCTCGTGCACAAGCCATAAGCCTCAACTCCCACCATGAGGGCTCAAACGATGCATAATGCTTCCTGACTTGCTGAAACCCTGGATTCGAGTTCCCAAAGGTCCGTGTCATATGCCCGGGCCCCATTGTAGCTATATGCGAACCCCTTGGCCCTATAAACTAAACTACGCACGGGCGTGCGCCGTTTGGGTTTGTGTTATGGTTTTGACAATGGTGGAAAGGACCATTCAGTGTGCGAATCATTCCATTTCTCTTGTGCTTTGGGGTCGAGGTCCATGACGTATTCCATTGACTGTACCACGGACTACTCACTTTGACAGCTAGGGTTTAGGGTTCAGCGTGCCCCTAAAGCCTATAACCCTGAACTCTAAGCCCTAAACTTTAACCTTAAACCTCAAACCCTAACCTCTAAACCCCCGAGACCCGTAAAGCCTATGACCCTAAATCCCTCAACTTATTTCTGCTTCTGAGGCTTTCGGAAGGGTATCGCTGTGCGCCTCAGTCCAAAGCTCCTTTTCTGCAGACGTAGTGGATACTGAAATTCCTACATGGGGGTTTAGGGTTATGGTTTAGGGTAGTATCTATTTGGGCTTTGGAGGTTATCGATTGCATGGCCGTGAGGTCAGTCACCACCAAACCTCTTGCTTTTTGGATGGAACTCGATGCGATCGATATCAAAGCTCATGTCTCGCCATCGAAATCCACCAGAAGACAGTTTGTTTGCCAGCAAAAGTTCTTCCTTTCCATTCAGCGTGCTATTCAGCGTGCTATTGAGAAACGCCTAGAATCTTCCTAGGGTCACACACATCAAAAACAAGTGTTGCTTTCTTTCTTGCTGCGTGCCTATGTTCAAAACAGGGTGACGGCCCACTCGCAGCACGTATAGACATAAAGCCTAGACTCTGGACAATGCAGTCTTTTCCATCTGCTCTTCCCTTATATTACCCCTACATGGACCCCAAAAGTAGTAGCGCTGTTACTAAACGTGACTGCGACCCTCTCTATCTCATGCGCGCGTACTTGAATACTCTGCGTGTCTGTGCGCCCAGCAGCCAGGTGTGTTTGTTGTACCTTGTCTGGCGGCTGGCAATTGTTGGCATTTGTGAACAGCCATCCAGTTGCTGATTTGCTGCTTTCCTGTGGTGCTTGCTTACAACGCCGCTGCCTGGCCCGGCTTTGCTGATGCCGGCGAAGCTTTCCTTCGCGCGCGAGAAGCCGTTGCCGGATACCATGGGTCCGCCAAGCTCGCTGCTGGGGAAGCGAGGCCAGGAATTACAGCGGCCTGATTGGGAGAAGCGCCCAACGGAGTGGCTGTCGGTCTCACTGAAAGCTCCAGACACAGTCGCGCAGCGGAGGGCGAGTGAGTGCAGTAAGCGTGTGTGTTTGCGTCTGCCAACTGGGTATTCCTTCCAGCAGCGCTCGGCTCCTTGCTTATCAGCGCGAGAACATGAAGACCTGGAATGGCAAAAATGGGCCACTGTGTGGCTGAATATCTTGAAGCCTCTTCTGGGTGTCTAGCCTCTGTTCCACGAGCTTAAGCAAGAGGCTGTTCCTACCCTCCGGCGGGTTCTAAGCAACAAAGCAGCCACTACCCTTCGCCGGCACCTTCCTGGATGGCGCTTGTGGCCGGAGTTTGCTAGTTGTCAGGTACTGGTCATACACTAGCCCGAGCTTTCCGCGTTGGTGGCGTTTTTCAAGGGTATTGCAGAAAGTGGGCGTTCCGGTGCTGCGTGTGCCTCAAGTCTGAGGTTCGTGGCCAGCTTGTTAGGGCTAGGCGAGCTGCAAGGCATGATGGCGAGCCCAGTTGTAATTGCCTGGGCGCAGCGAGTTCGTTCTCCGATGCCGGTGAAGGAAGCTATGCCTCTGCCTTTATATGTTTTGGCCAACTGGGAGCTGGCCCTACTGACAGAGATGAGGCATGGGGGTTCTGCAGATGCCATGCTGCTTGCGGCATTCTTGATCATGGTTTGGGGTGCCATGCGCTACTCTGACGTGCAACGCGTGAATGTGACTGATTTGGACATTGATCAAGGATCGCGCGGTGTGTGTTGGCGGACTAAGACTTCCAAGTCTGGTATGCCGTTTGGTTGCGTCTTGCTTGGTTTGTATGCTGACCGGGGTCATGCCGTTCTCTACTTGAAGAAGATGCTGGGGCAGCGAGACTTCTTGATACCGGGGCCCAAGGGTGACAGAGCATCCTACATCTTTGTGCTAGGTCAGTTGCGTCGGGCTCTTGTGTCATTTGGGGGCGTGCCTGCCGATAGCGTGGCGCAGTTCACGCTGCATTCGCTAAAGGCAACCCCTCTGTCCTGGGCAGTTCAGCTGGACATTGGCACTTCAGCGAGACGGATCTGGGGACATCATCGTGCCCGGTGCTCTGGAGAAGCCATGGTAGACAAATACTCGCGTGATGATGTGATTAAGGTCTTGAAAGCGCAGTTGCGAACACTGGACTGCATCAAAGATGGTTGGCGACCTCTGGCTGCGCAAGCTAGGGGCGGGCTTCCCTCCCTGCAGGAGCTGCCGCTGTGCGTCGAGCCCTCTCCGAAGGATGGGAATGCATTGTTGGCTCTGCGTCCATTTGGTCGGATTCCAAGGGTCCGCCGCAGCAAGGCGATTGCGGGGAGCGACAGTGCCACTGAGTCTGACTGTGAATCGTCTAGTGGCGGGAGCAGCAGTGGTGTCACCAGCGCCAGCGAGGCGTCCTCGTCCTCGGATGAAGAAGAGCGTGCGGCGGATTTGGCTCAGCAGCACGCTGTGGACGGCATTTATGTCATCAACACATTTACTATGTGCTATCATGCAGCCGTAGCCGTGGGAGATGGCAAATATGGGCGTGCCTGTGCGCCATCTAGGGATGCCTGCGGTTCTCACTGGAAGATCTCGAAGGAGCACCCGCTGATCGGTGATGGAGCGTTCTTTGCCTGCTCGCACTCAGCCTGCTCCTCGGCTTTGAAAGACTGAGGCGGCTGGGACTCTGAGCGACTTGCCTGCTGTGTGCGGTATACGGACCTCAAGACCTTGGTGGTCTTGGCGTTGGGTTTCCTGTTTGGGTTTAGGTTAGGGTTGTTTGCCTTTGTGTGCGCACGGTGGCGCGTTGCAGAGCAAGGAAGGACTTTGGCCCTAGTGAGTGTGCACGGTGGCACAGGGCACTTGGGTTGCCTTGAGCGCTCGTCAGCGCTGAGTGTGATGTTCCGTGGGTGACAAGGGGAAAAGAGCTGGACGCGCTCGCAAGCCTGACGGGCAGTCAACTTTTGATAGGCACCTGTGTGGAATAGTTGCTTCTGCAATCTGCGGGATGCTTGTTGGTGGCAGTTGGTTGATTCAGGAATCTTGGTGTGAGAGATTTAACCAGTTACTTGCCTTGCTGTCTTTGTGTTGCTCATGGCGCTGTCATCGTGGCAGTCTCGTATGCAAGAAGTTGGTTTGCCGGAAGCGGTGGCTTCCTTGTTGGTAGCCAAGGGTTACGTGTCAGAGGTATCTTTCCGACGGGCATTTCGCAGTGAAGAATCGCTGGACCATTTCATTGAGGACTTGCTAAATCGGGACCAGCCATGTGGCATTTTGGAAATAGGTGCTTGGGAAGTTCACCCTAGCCGGAATGCTGCGCGAGATTTGGGAGCCTGCCGTGGCGCCGGCCGAGCCGCCCGGACAGTTGGCCCTGCCCGCTAGCGGGCAGGCCGAGGGCTTGTCAGGGGCCTTGGTGCCTTCCCTTTTGGGTCTGAGTGTGGGCAGTAAGCTCACATCGGCGGAGTTGGCGAAGCTTTGGTCCAAGTTTGAGGCGGACTATCCCAGTGAAATCATAGAAGTCCACAACCGTCCATGCAAACAGTTGATTCAATTGGTCAACCAGCAGAAACAGCAAGAAGATTTTCGCTTCATTCCTTGGAAACAGCTCCTCACCGAGGCGCAATGTGACAAGTTGAAACTGGGTGCGCAGAAAAAAGAAAAATCCTTCTTGGGCTGCTGTCTGAAGCCTCGGGTCAGTGGGACTTGATGGAGAGTGACCCGCCAGCCTCTCCGTTTGGTGTGCAACGGTTGTTGATGTCGAGGAGCGTGGCCTGGGCACTAGTTGGGTGGTGTCACCTATCATCCGCGAAGAAGCTTGTGGGAAAGTTCCTGGACTACTACATGGGCGGTGTCGCAGAGAGTGGCATGCGTGCACCATCACTGGCAGAGGCTGAAGCTGCGGATATTGAGTTGTGTCGCGAAATCAGCAGCTTGTTGGCAAAGAATTTCACGCTTGACCAGGCGATACATGAGTGTGTTGTTGTGCGAAATAGTTTGAACATGTGGCTGCAGCCCCGCCCTCGTCTTCCGGGGAAAGGAAAAGGCAAGGGTGGCAAGGGCAAGGGTCACGCTGCGCTTGTCGACAGCAAGAACGGCAAGCAAGATAGGCGTGGCGGCAAAAAGAGGGACTCGGATGGCAAGTTCAAGGGCACCTGTCATGCCTTCCAGATTGGCAAGTGTAGTCGTGGTGATGAGTGCAGGTTCCTTCATGCGTGTGAGAACTGTGGCGAGGAGGGCCACGGGCGTGCTGAGTGCCCCCGTGTTATGGATCTCGGTGCGGGCGAGGGCACGGCTGCGCTGCTTCAGCCCGGCGACTTGCCTGCCGCGTGTGAGACGCCATCCAAGGAGGAATGCGAACTGTACCACCACATTCTCCTAAAGGATGGAGGGGGTGTGTGCAGCCCAGCGGACTGGCAGTTGCCTCCGCCCGAGGCTTTAGCAGACCCTCTAGGAAGGGTCAGAAAGGCGCTGCACCGCTCCATGCCAAGCGATGCTTGCGCGGCTGCGGGGACGCTTTTGAGAGGACGAAGTGAGTACAATGCGGCTTGCTGTCTGCGAGGCACTAGGTGTGGACGCTGCGTGGGCGCTGGCAAGTTTTGAGAAGTCGCCGTATAAGTTCAATTTGCTTCAGTCCCTTGCGGTGAAGATGGGAGACTTAGATTCGGACATTGCGTCATGGGGCTCCCACAGGAGTCCGTGCAGCCGTGCGGGCGTCAGGCGTTTGGCCTAGATGTGATGTTGCGGATGATGACGAATTTCTTCATGCTTCACCTGAGTTGCACCTGTGCGAGCACAATCACATTTCTGCTGTCAGGGATGAGCGGAAGGTCCGTGAATTGGTGCAGCAGGAGGTGGCCGAAGGCTACATGGAGCACATCCCGGGAGGCCGCAGTGAGGTTGATGCGCGCTTCCCTGAAGGTTCGTTGGCCATAGGGAAGCTGGGCCTGGTTTCGCGGCGTGGCAAGAAGGATCGCTTAATAGGGGACTCCAAAGCATCGGGCGCCAGTCCAGCGTCCAGGTTTGAGGAAAGGGCTGAGGTTCCAAGGGTTTTCCATGTTTCAGAATCTTTGTGTATGTTTGCAAGTTGGGAATACAGCAAAGGGAGGCGCGACTCTGGCGATCCAAGGGCAGAAGACTGGGTGCTCTTCAGCATGGACGTCAAGAACGCACACAAGTCCATCCGTACGGCGCCAGATGACATTGGGTTCGCAGTTTTCCACATTATGAACCAGTGGTTCGTCTACCTCGTCAATCATTTCGGGGCCAAGTGGTCTGCGTATTGGTGGAGCAGATTAGGAGCACTCCTCATGCGTGTGTTCCATTTCATTCTGCGCCATTGTCATGTCGGGGTCGTCTACGTGGATGATTTTCTTTTCCTGCTACTACGCAGTGCGCACCTGCCCATGGTCGCCATTCTGCTTGCGCTTGCCCAGGTGCTTGGTGTGCGGTTGTCTTGGAGCAAGCTTCGCTTAGGTCTAAGCCTGGAATATCTTGGCTGGGCGCTCAGTGTGGAGGGTGAGTTCTGCAAGCGGAAGCGAACACTGGCAATTTTCAATTGGTGGCTTCTGCATGCGCGGCGGATCGGCAGGCAGGAGCTGTCTTCCGTTCTTGGGTTGCTTATATGGGCAACACAGATCAAGTTGCCCTTGCGCGCATTGCTGGCTCCTCTCTTTACAGCATTGCACCGTCCAACTGGGAAGATGCAACTCCTGCACACGGGTCAGTTGGCGGAGCTGGCAAGGCTCCTGGACAGAAGCTCGCTGCGTGTGTGCCGTGCAGCCCGCGATTCAGATGTGCAAGCTGGTTGGGTACTGCGAGAAGTTGGGGGCAGGCTAGTCAACAAGGACTCCCTTGACGTAATGCTGCGACAGCCGAAGCTCAAAAACGGCAAATGCTGGGTGCGGTTCTCTGCTTGGGGCGCGGTCACCAATCTTGACCAGGCCTGCCTGTCAAGCCTTCGCATTCTGCGGCAGTTCTTCCATCAGAATGCCTTCGGCTGGGCCAACGCCAAGGAAACCTTAAACGGATGTGCGGATGCTTGGGCCGGCAGCCACGTCGGCGGCGTAGGTGGTTGGTTCCAGTGTGCTTCTGGCCAGTTGCGTTGGTTTCATGTTGCTATTGCACGCTCAGACATTCCAGATGAGTGGAAATGGCCCCAAACAATGCAAGCGGGCGTCGGAGCTCTGGAGCTGCTGGCCCAGTTGGCGCTTGTGGTCGCTCGCGCGAAGACCAGCGGCATGCCCTGCGTGCACAGAGCTCTGCTTCGGCAGTGCAGCGACAACCTGGGAGTGGTTGCTTCAGTATCCAAGGGCTTGGCCAGCAAGCCGCCTTTATGCAGCGCGTTGGTCACGCTGAGCCTTGTCTGCCTGCGAGTGAAATGCGACCTTTCTATTTCACATGTGGCCAGCACACGCAATGGTGAGGCTGACTTCTTGAGTCGCTTGAACTGCCCGTCGCGGACAGCAGACCCTGTGCTTGAGGCTGCTTTCCCAGCCGAACATCGTGTAGAGGTTACCTTGGAGGATATCTTTAGGCCGTGGCAGGAGTACATGTCAGGCGGACCCAAGTGTCTGACCTAATGGTGGCTAGGCTGCCTTGGAGTGTACTGTGTGCTTTGCGCGGGAGCTCTGGTTGTGACAGCCGCAGCTTCGCAAGGGGTAGTGTAGGCGGCTGGGTATAAGGGACAGCAGGCTTTGTTTGGTGTAGAGGGACTGCTGTCCCCGGAGCCTGAAAGGTTCCTGGCTTTTGATGCCTTTTGTCCCAGCGCGTAATAAACAGTGTGTTTGTGAGCGTGTGTGAGATTGTAGAGGGTAAGTTAATAGCACCCAAACCCTAAAGACAGCCCAAAAGGCCATTATTCGACATACTTTTGGGCTGGAACCTCTTTGAAACAAAACTCTCATACCAATAAGCACAACAAGCCCCCTAAAACCTAAACCCAAACCCTAAACCCTAACCGCCGCGCTCGCATCCGGTAGAAGGCCTTTGGACGTGAACGTCAATGAGCTCTTCTTAGCCCCTGAGCCGATTTTCAATTGAAGGTTTGGGGTTTAGGGTTTGGGGCTTATCGGATCTGGGGATCAATCTCACGGTTCAAATTTCCCTTCAGTAGATAGAATGAGTTTTTGGGTATATTATACTTAAAATAAGATCCCCATATGCCCCATGTTCTATCTACTTAAGGGGGACCGTAGGCGTCAGGGTTGAGGGCTTAGGTTTCAGGGTTAAGGGTTCAGAGTTTAGGTTTCAAGGTTTCGATTTTAGGGGTAGAGTAAGAATCTTACACAAAGAATATATTCTTACTAGGTTCAACCACCAAAAGCGCTACTCATGTGGGCGCTTCGACAGAGAAGTCCTTCACTTGCATTGTGCGGTGGTTTTGGGCTCCCATGAAACCCTAAACCCCCGAGCCTCTCGCTGCCAGACCGTGAAGATATAGAGGGTTTAGGGTTTTAGGATTTAGGGTTTTGGGGTTTAGGGTTTTTGGGTTTAGGGTTTCGGAATTTAGGGTTTAGGGTTTAGGGGGTTTAAGGTTTTGGGGTGGGTTTAGGGTGTTGGGGTTTAGGATTTAGAGCGTAGGGAATGGAAAAGAAAATGGAAATGATTAGAATGCAGAATCACGTGGAAAAGAAAATGGAAAATGACATGGAACCTGGGCTTTTGAGGTCTGTAGGGGTAGACCCTAAAACCTTAAACCCGAATACCAGACAAAGGAAGCAAACTAGCAGCTTCCTTCTTGGGTTCTTGTAAGGGGAAACTTGAGGGGATTCCATGGAAGGGGGCCCCATACCTCAAGAAGGGTTTGGGGTTCAGGGTTTAGGGTTAGGGAGGCTTAGGGAGGCTTAGGGAGGTCTGGGGAGTCCTTATTTATGGGTTATGGGGTCCCCTTCGGGGATTCCCTACCTTGAGGCCATTCCTTCAACCCGAAACATTCAACCAGCATTTCGCGCCACACCCTGAACAAGCATGTCCTGAACCCCCGAAGTAGGTAATATTATTCAACTACATGAGGTAATGTTGTGGGCCAAAATGCCTTAAAACAACCCAAAAGGTCATTATTTTGCTTATGTTGGGGGTTTAGGTTCACCCTCAACTCTTAACCAACCCTAAACCCTTACACCCTAAAACCCTAAAAACCTAAAACCCTAAACCCCTAAAACCCTAAACCCTAAAACCCTAAACCCTAGACCCTAAACCTCTGAACCCCTAAACCCTAAACCCTAAAACCCTAAAACTCTAAATCCATTTGAACTGAGGTACAAGGCACCCGGGCGAGCATCTGGGGAGGTGATGACACTCAGAGTGCGCAGCTCTTCGGCTTCTATGTGGGGTTTGTGGTTTAGGGTTTAGGGTTTAGGGTTTGGGGAGGTTGGGGTTTACGGGTTTACGGGTTGAGGGGTTTAGGGGGTCAGGGTTTAGGGTTTAGGGGTTCGGGGTTTAGGGGGTTTGGGTTTAGGGTTTAGGGGGTTAGGGTTTAGGGTTCAGGGGCTTAGGGGTCTAGGGTTTAGGGTTTAGGGGGTTAGGGTTGAGGTATGTGTCATGCAGGGTGTTCATACGTACCGGTCCTGCTTTGTAACTTCCCACAGTAGGCGGACCCCAATATAGACCCCAAAATACCATGATCCTCATGATGAGGACCCCCCAATGTGCGACCCCCCAATTCTTGGAAATCCTAAACCTTAAACCCTAAACCCTAAGCCCTAAACCCTAAACCCTAAACCCTAAAGCCAAGCAGAGGACAAGGCGGCAGTCTGAGTCACGGGCTTCTGTGCCTGGCTTTCCAGCATGCTAGTTGGTTTAGGGTTTAGGATGTAGCGGTTTTGGGGTTTAGGGTTAAGGGTTTAGGGGTTTAAGGTTTAGGGCTTAGGGTTTGAATGTAGACCAAACCCTAACATAGACTCCTTTAAAGGGTTGTATAGGGGTTATACTGGGACAATGGAAAGAAAATGGAAACTACTATTTAGGGTTTCGGGTTTAGGCATAATGTAGACCCATGATTAATAAACCCCCTCCTTTTAAGGGCCTAGATCTTAGGATCCCTATAACAACCCTATTAAATACCCCACTATACTATAGTAGCTTCAATCTTATTTCCATTATTGGGATCCCTATGATAGTCCTTATTAAGGGGAGGGGGTTTATTCATCAGGGGTTTGGGTGTAGGGTTGTGTACACGGGATTCCGACTGTCGTGTTGCTTCTCGGATTTGCCGTTCATACACTGAGGGCGCTCAGCCTAAGTTGTACAACGCTGACAGTCTTGGTGCATCTAACATGTGATATCCAACTCCTCAACGGCTAAAACTCCGCCGCTGGTGGATTTAGTGTTTGTACGAATGTACATGTTCAACCCTTATCCTTATTGCTACTCCCCCAACACTACTCCCCTCAAGCCAACGAAACCCCAAACCCTAGACCCTAAACACTAAACCCTTAAACCCTAAACCCTAAACTGCTAAAACCCTACTCCTAAACCCCCAAGCCGGGAATCCTGCGCCGAAGGCTCCAAGTCTTGTCCTCACCTTCCGGCACCGCCGTGGGGCCTGGTATCTACCTTACAGACTCCGCAGTGAAGGCAAAGATTTAGGGTTTTAGGGTTTCAGGGATTTAGGGATTCAAGGGTTTAGGGTTTTAGGGTTTTAGGGGAATAGTAGGACCATTCTGTCACTATAGGGGCCTCCAAAATATTTTGTATTTTTTGCTTATTATGATTCTAATAACAACCATTTTTTGTGGGGTTCTGAGGCCGGTTTAGGTCAGGGTTCAGGTTGTAAATGGTAGGACCACGCCCTAAAGTCTTAGAGGACCCAGGTTGAGTCTGCTTGTCAGAAAGGTGTCAGCAAACCGCAGAACCTCGGGTTTTGGAGTTCTGCATCTGCAGCGGAACGTTAGAATTTAGGGTTTAGGGTTTTAGGGTTTTACGGTTTTAGGGACTTTAGTGGTTTTAGGGAGTTTAGGATTTAAGGTTTTTAGGGTTTAGGGTTTTAGGGTTTTAGGAATGAACCTGGAAGCCTGTACTACCGCGAAGGTGCCTCCGAGTGGTAGTTTCCCAAACTAGGGGGACCCCAATATGGACCCCCAAAACCCGAATCCTTACTTTAGGGACCCCCAAGAAGGAACTTCCTTTTTTTGGGAAACCCCTAAACCCCCAAAACCTAAACCTTAAACCCTACCCAGACCCCCCAAGTACCCTCTATAGAACCCAAGCACCGCCGGATAGGACATGATAGGACCCTTCACCCTAAACCCTAATTAACCCTAATTAAGGGTAGTTGGGGGGTCCAGGTATATCCCCCTATATAACCCCTATGTAGCCCTTGAAGGGGACCCCTAAAACCCTAAACCCTGTTTAGGGTTTAGGGTTTAGGGCCTAAGTTTGGGGAAGCCGCCAAACTCGAGGCAGCCATGTTTTCTCGAGGTTTTGGCCAGGATGAGGGAGTAGGACCAACTCCTCCAACGGTTTAGGGGTGTAGGGGTTTAAGGTTTAGAGGTTTAGGGTTTACGGCTGAAGGGGTTTAGGGGTTTAGGGTTTAGGGGTTTAGGGGTTTAGGGTTCGGGTCCCAAACCCGAAACCCTAAGCCCGAGACCCTAGAGTTTAGGGTTTAGGATCCAGCATACGTCCCAAGCTCCTTTTTAGTTCTCCGACTTGTGAGCGCGGCCCCCAGTTCTGAAGCCACTCAAATCTTCGGTGTTTATACTTCCCCAAATGGGTGGTTGTCAACATTATGGCCCCTTTTTTGGGTACCCTAATATTAGGTGCCGTAATATAATAGGGATCCAAAAAGGACCCATAATTTTGACAACCACCCAAATCACTTTCTGATGTTGAAGGGGAATGGGTCACCTTGTAATAGTGGTATACTCGGCATATAGTATGACCCCGATATAATCACCATTAACCCTTATAGTCATTACTACCTGGGAGTACAAATAGGCACTAGTCTGGGGATATATAGAGATCGTCATAGGGAGCCACTCCCGCTTAAGTACCAAGACAGTATAACTGGATCCTACCTGCTCACGACCCTAAATCCTGAACCCCAAAGCCCCAATCCTAAACCCTAAACTTTTCCGGCCAGGCTGATCAGAGCACAGAACCCCACAGCAACGGCCTCTGCGCCTTGCTGGACACGGCCTCAGGAGGTAAGGTTTTAGGATTTAGGGTCTGGGCGTAGAAGTCACTGGGTTTAGAGTTTAACAAGGATAGTTACAAGTTATGGGCTTGGGGGTATAAGTTAGGGTAGCTATTCAGTTATGCGTTTAGGGTCTAGGGCTATAAGTTCATGGGGTAAGGGGTTTAGGGTAGCTAGAAGGTGTAAAGTTCATTGTTTAGAGTCATGGCGATATTGACGACCCTAAACCCTAAACCCTAAACCAAACCCCAAACCCTAAGCAACCCTTACTCCAGATGGTGTAGAAATATGCTCGGGGAGCGGACCCTACTTGGGCCCCAAAAATATGTAAAATAATGGCCTTTGTGGCTATTATTATGGGTTTAGGGTTATTCTGTTACATACTTTTGGGGTTTAGGTAAACCCTAAACCGCGTAAGTAAGGTTAGCCCTCGCCTGCACAGTTTGG